CACAGGTTTCCTGTATAGTCATGTTTCTCTTCCAACTGGTCAAAACCATTTTGAACTTAAATCATTAGGAATTGAGGATGCCTATACATGTGCAGTGAGGCTGCTCCAGTGCACTGTATTTGATTGAGTCTGCTGCAGTGTGGTAATTACCGCACTCCAGAAGACTCCAGCATCAGGTGTATCAGTGTCTCCACACTGAAAAATGGTGGTGGGGGTGCTTTAACTAAAGCTTGTTCAATGAGCTTTAGTTAAAGTGCCCCTGCCAGCATTTTTCGGTGCAGGGACGCTGATACATGTGACACTCCCGGCGCTTGAATAAGAGCGGCTCTCAGAGACACTCTAATTAAAACACCCCGCCCCACATGTATAAAACATCCTTAGTAACCTTTTCTGTCTTCAACCAGCATCCTCAGTAGAAAGCAGCCTCACCAGCTGCTCTAAATTAACAGCACTTCTAATGGGTACAAGAAAAAGGGGGAAGGGGCAAAGCAGTCGGGGATTGGCCAGTTTCCTGATTATCTATCCCAGTCCCATTGTTAGTGGATGTGTGAGCACACAGGGACTGCTCTAACTTGCATCAGTTGGGTATGGTTTCATACATCAGATGCAAATAGTCAGAGCATGCTGGCCCCTAACCATTACTCCTCTCCATCCCTATAACAGTCCCTATGTTGCACAGAGTAGAGAAGCCTAGAAACTAATTCTGCCCACTCCACACCTGCTGGGAACTTCCCCTATGCAGGAATATTCTTGATAGGGACTTAGGATCATAGTAAAGTAGGGTTGGACGGAACCTCACACAGTCATGTAGTCCAGTCCCCTGCTCAAAGCAGGATCATCCCTGACTAAATCATTCCAGCCAAATATATACCTAAGCTACTTGTGAAAATGTCCAGGGTCATTGGGGATAAAAAGGAAAAACTTTCCTATCAGATAAGCAGCAAAAAGGGATCACAGAGAGGCAAAGAATTTGCATCTGTCTTGTCCCAGAGAGTGAACTAACTTAACTGATGAAGAGGAGAAATAAAGCTGCCAGTATCTTCAGGATAAACTGTCTCCAAGGTCCAAAGCCTCTTCCAAATGTCTATTCCAACAAGTGTGAATGCATCCCCCAAGTTCTGATTTACAAATATCACAAGAAACGTACTTAATTAACATTTCTACAGGCAATCCTGCTTAGCACTCTTAATTGGTTCTGGAAAAACTGAGCACTAAGCAAAACAGTGTTAAGCAAAAACCATTTTCCATAGGGTTTAATGTAAATAAATATAATTGGTTCTGCACCACCTGCTGGCCCTGGCCCTGCCGCTCCTGGCAAGGCACTGCACAGGCTCCGCCAGGAAAGGCATTGACTCCTCCCGGCCTCATTGCTCCGCCACTGAAATTGCCCCTGCTGGCCACCAGCGCACCTGTGCATGGCCCCAGCCGTCCCGCCTGCAGGGCCTGAGTCAGAGATCCGCCTGCCCAGGGATTAACAGCAAGAAGGCAACAGGGCTCCAGACAGCGCGGGGGAAGCTTGGGATGGTGTCTGCGCCGCACGGGTGAGTGCGTACCCAGAGCGGAATGGGTCACAGGCTGCAGCCTGGGGATGGGGGGCGCTGCAGGCTTGGCCCCACTGTTCCCTGGGGCGGGGGACACTGCGCATGTGTCCTTGAGTACTGGCTCGCACCAGCTCAGGCCCCACACTCCTGCCAGCTCTGGCCTCGGGCCCCCTGCTCCTGCCACCCTACTGGCCCAGGCCCTGTGCTCACACACCCTACCCGCCCTTTCTTGCTGCCGCCACCACTCCTCCCTGCCTGCTGGCTGCTCCAGCACCACATGCCGTAGCAGACCCCGGGCTCCTGCCACCTCGCCCTGGGCCCTGCTGATTTGGGCCCCCTGCCCACACTGTCTGGCCCCCTGCCTGCCCCTTCGTGCTGCCACTCCTCCCCGCCTCCTCCAGCACCACATGCCAGAGCGGACCCCGAGCTCCTGCCACCCCACCCTGCGCTCCGCCAGCTGCCACTCGCTGATTCACTTGACAATGACTATGCCATCACCGCTGTTGCCACTGCTTCTCCCCACCCACTGCGCTGAGTGTTATAATGAAATGCTCTGCGCGCTAAGTGAAACCAGGTAAGTATTTTAAATGAGAGCTATAGCAAAACCGTGGTAAGCGAAACTGCGTTAAGTGAGGGTTGCCTGTATGATGAATTAACAGTTGTTGTGTAGGCGACAACTGGCATTTAAATGAGACTTTTACTGTTTCAGAATAAGTTACTATTCATGATGAAAACTGAGTTCAGAACTGACTTACTGAAACTATTACAATTGCAAATCAGTGGAGACAAAGACAAGTCACCAGTATGTTCTTTGATTAGTTCAACTTAACTGATCCACGTGTATAAACTACTGTAGTCTCATGCAGTATCCATCCAAAGGCTGGATTTTTCTGTCCTGTTTTCTCGCTCTGTTACTAACACATACAACCCTTTTCTTACCACCCTGCCAGACTGAATGAGGAATGCAAAGGCTAAAAGGATAAATATTTTCCATCTGAAAAGAGGATTATATGGAAAGATTCCTATAAACAATTCACTGAGCAGAAAGACATTTACACTATCCAAAGAATATGAAAAGAATTAAGCAAGAACTTGTTAGAGGAAGAGTATAAAGACCTGGCTTGTATTAAACAAAAACACTGTTGCGTAAATAAGGCATTAGTTAGTTCTTTTTGGCCCACTTCACTGGTAAATGTGTTCTCAGAAAAGCAGATTCCCTTCTTAACGTTAAACTAGCAACATGTACATTGAGTCAAAAATCAAATAGAAAGCATAAAAAGTGTCATACACTGCAAATGAAGCCAAATCCTTTGCCATTTTTAGCCTGGGCATAAAGCCCATTTTCTTTTTCATTAAAATGTGTTCCTCCCTCTTGCTACTGTCCCACAAAGGAGCATATGCAGGAACAGAACAAGAAAATTACCTCAGCAAAGCACTAAAGCCAAGATCCTCAAAGTTATTTAGATGCCTAACTCCAAATGAACTCAGATAGGAATTAGGCACTTAAATACCTTCGAGGATTTGGGTCAGAGTGCCCAGAACTCCTGGGCTACCGGCTCCCCTGTGGCTTTGGGAAATAGGCTTCTGAGGATCAAGTCCTTAATGAGTAGCTGAGCTACAAGGCACCATAACTGAGGCATAGTAAGATTATAAATTCAAAACAAATTTATATTTCACAAAAAGAGGAAGGCCCAGTGTCATGTAACCAAATACAGAGCATCTTCTAGAGCAGCATTTCTTAACCCATGGGTCTCAAGAACATTGTAGGAGGTCACAGGGAGGTCCCAGGGAATTATGTGGTTTCCCCATGCAGGCTGCAAGGCTGGGGGGCGGGGGGTGATGAGCACACAGCCTTGTGAGAGCAGCCACAGGAGCCGGAGAGGGAGGGAGGGAGGGAGGGGGCCGGAGGGGGGAGAGGCAGACAGAGAGAAAGAGACTGTGGGTTGGGGCCAGGGGGGTGTCGGTTGGGGCCAGATGATAATTATGCTAATGGATCCCAGTGTGAAAAATGTTGAGAACCACTGTCCTAGAGCAGTGATTTTCAACCTTTTTTCATTTGCGGACCCCTAAAAAAATGTGAATGTAGCTGTATAACCCTTTGAATTGTAAGTGTGGGGGTTCATATGCATTTGATTGATCATAGTCATCTTTCACAGACCCCTTAGACATCATTTTCAGACCCCCAGGAGTCCACAGAACACAGGTTGAAAAGTCATAGAGTAATGGTGTTGACTTACACAACAAATATAAAATATGCATTCAAACAGATTGGTCTCCATCTTTACAAATAGCCACTGAGCACAATTCCTCAACTTACCCTGAACAGCTAAACCAGCCAGATGAATTGCTTGCTCTAATGTGCAAGGAATGTTTCCCTCCAAGATATCTTTCTTCAGCTGCAAATAATACTGATATCTACAGAAAGAAAGCCTATGTTAGCATTTCCATTTTTTCAGTTTCAGTAAAATGCAGTTATAAACCAAGACTTTTATAAACCTATGAATGTACATGCATCTGTCCTCCATAATCCAAGGACATTCATCTCCTCCTTGTCACTCAGGCCCATGATTTGGAGGTCATTTCTAAGTCTTCTCTACCCACTCACACCTAGGGTAGGTTGAAATCCTGCCACTACTTCTAAAGCAAGATCTGACCTTTTCTGCCTGCCATCAAAAACACTCATTCACACCCTTATCAATCCTTTATTTAATATTATTTCTTCTTCTTGAGCCTCCCTGGCATCACTTTTTCTATAGACTATTAGAAATATTGAATCTAGCACTGTATTCTCTGCTGATTAATCTAAGAGTGTCATTCATTTCTCTGAATCACGCTAATGACTTCTACATCATGTTTAACACAATCTATTTGTCCTCACCTTGGAATAAGAGTTGCATAAATATTTCCTTATCCATTTACTCGTCTCTTGTTTTTTCCTGTGCTCACAAATAACCCCAGCCACAATGCCCCATATGTCCATTCTTTCCACAACTGTTTTCTTGCACTCATCTGTGCAACCCCCTAAGAACAGAACATTCTTTCAGAGCTAGTCTAGCAAAACACTGGCCTCTCTTCATCCAAAGTATCTCTTTATACACACTAATCATTGTGAATGTCACTTCAATGTGTTGCATCATGCTGAATATTAGTTTGTGTACTCTTCGCAGAAGAGATTCTATCTTCCAGCTGTGGAGGTGCCTTATGTCACTAGAAATAATAAGTAGGTGAAAGCCAAACTAAACACATGATGAGAAAAAGAACATATTTTCCACCTTTGCCAGAAAGTGTTAAATAAATGTTCTCTGTAACATTCTCTAGAACATTTTATCTACTGCTACAATAATGCCACATGCCGCACAACAGTGCGATATAGATTACAAACAAAAGGCTTAGGCTAAGTCCTGGCTCTACAGTTGCAGGAAAAGTGATCTCCCTACTCAGGAAGCAGTCCTCTTGTTTGTTCTGCAGAATAACAGCTAAAAGAAAATATATTTTCAAACATACAAGGCCAGTACCTTCCTGCCACCATTCCACTGCAATATGGGCAACTTTCTCTTTTTGTTTCCCAGCTTGTTTAAAATCTAGTATAACATGTATTGATTTTGTTTGTACCAATGTAGTTCAGGAGTAATGCTATAAACTTTTCTGAGGTTAAACCAAATCTTCTATGATGTAAATTAGAGCAGAATCTGGCTCCTTAGATCCATTTCCCAAAGGCACAGGAACTCAAAGTCTGCACCTGAACTTGTCTGTTGCATGGCAATATAATGTAATATTACTGAGCTATTACATCAGCAGACACTGCTTTCTTTCTGAGAACACCCAAGTTAGACCTACTGGCATATTTCACCCTACTCCCATATTTTCTCACACTCATTCATTCATTGGCAGCCACTGATCTTGGCAGACCATGGGGACTGTGTCTTTGGTAGGTTACCGAGGACCACTATTAGCTTCCTCAGTGGCTGAGAAGTCCAATGCGCAACAGACACACCCTCTGGCAAGCTGCACATACAAACTCAGTTGAGCTTGAACTGGCATGCTGAACACCATTTTTTATTGCCTGCCTCCAACATCTCTTCTCTAGATCATCACTGACCCTCTCCGTTTCATCATGATGTAGGCCCTGCTTCATGGCAGCTTTCCATTCACAACAGTTTAAAGCGATTCATTCCCAGCATCAGCCATCAATGAACAGCTCACAAAGGTGTTTCTTGCAGACATAAACAAAATGGAGCTTGGGCCATCCAAGCTGACATTCAGCACTGGCCAGCTCACCACAGAGCATGTCCTTGGGAATTTGGCCAATGCTCATACAGTTCACATGTCCTAACCAATGGAGGTGTCTCTGTCTCAGAAGCACAAACATACTGGGTATCTTGGTCCGTTCCAGAACAGAGAAGTTGGAGATTTTGTCATGCCATGTTATGCCCAGGACACAGAGGAGACATCGAAGATGGAAACCGTTCAGTTTTCTGTCTTCCTTGGCATACGGCGTCCATGTTTCACTGCCATACAATAGAGAACTAAGTTTGCAAACACTGTAGAAGGACATCTTTGTTGATGCAGTTTTTCCAAACTCTTTTTTGAAGTTAAGACAGGGCATTCATTGCTGGTCTTTCCAATGTGACCGTTAATTTAGGCTTCCAAGCCAAGATTTTCTGAGATGGTGGAGCCCAAGTAAGTGAATTTTTCAGCCACTTCCAGGCTTTCATCATTTATTCTAACTTCGGAAGGGCGGTCAACTTGTCAACTTCTCACAAACAACATACCCCAAACTCACCCCCCAAAAATTGAGGTGTACCTATTAAGCTAGGAAGCGGATTTTCTGCCCGGGATAAACGCACCCTGCTTTGATTCCTGCTCCACAGTGCAGCAGCTATTGCATTATGAGGGACTTGGGTGACTTAATGGCTCATTGTTCTTCATTTCAGAGGTGTTTACAACAAAATCTCCTTTTAGTGGTCTCAATGAGCCATTAATCAAGTTAACTTTTCTTAGGGCAATTCTGCTGTCCCGTAGCTGCTCCTGGTTGCTCTCCTCCTATTTCATAGCTTTGGAGGCACTTCTGCTGTTTTTAAAATCATATCTCCACCTATGGAGACCTATCTTCAGCCGCTGCTATGGTCTGAGTTTTAATTAAGCAGGAAAGGAAGGGTGAGTAAGCTGAAGATTAAGCTCTATCCCATAACTCTGAAAAAATCTTTTTCTTCTTCACTCTGCCTTTCAAAAACAAGGTTAATAGTCTATAATAATTGAAAGTTTTATGACTGAATTACTTCTGTGAGCAACATTACTTGTATGAATAAGCTTAAATAGATTCCTAAGATCATTGGGAAAATTCATCCTTCATGTAACTCAATATATATTCTATAATCTGAAGGGATAATAAATGCGACAGTTTAGGCAAAGTTTTTGCCTTGTTTGATTTTCAACCTTTGAAGAAGTGGAAATTCAAGCAATAATTACTATTTTAAGATACATACTAGAATGTTACAAGCTGAAATTAAAAATATGTACAGCTCACCTGGTAATTTCCTGCTGAAGCTGAGAAACAGTAGGCACATAAAATACCACTCCAAAATACACGGTTGGCTCCAAAGCATATTTGTCGAGCTGCTTTTTCAGAGGCTTGTCCAAATCCACCCACCGGCGCTGGTTCTGCTTATTGTAATACCACAGACTGAAATAAGTAATCTGAAAAAGAAGGAACCAGTTCAGTGATTAAACAAGGCAGGTATCGCAATGCCAGAAAAAATAAATCTAGCATATAAAGCTGTTACTGTTTCCAGCCTCACAGAAAGTTTAAAACCATTTAAAACCTAGAAGTCATTATATCATCTATAGACTTTATGATTCAAAATTGCCAAAAGAATTGACATTTTTTTAAAGTAACAGCGTGTCCTATTAAATCTTGTTAAATAAAAAAATAAATACTGGTACTTGAAAAAAAACCCCATACCAGTATTTGGTGGTCCCATCAGTAAATTAGAGGCCCAAAAAACCTAGCAGATAGACTTTGCTAATGCAAGTATTCCCAATGACGTTGATGGGACAACTCACAGAATTAAAAGATATGCTTGGTAGTAAGTTTCAGTACTTCATAATACAACGTGAACTTCCTGCCATACAAGAAGTAACCAATCACATTGCAGCCTGCAGCCCTTACTTCTTCGAGCGAGATTTCAGAATTGGGTTCTCAAATTAACATGAATTAACCTTAGTTTAACCTTAACTTTTCACAGCAAAATTAGATCCAATCAAGAGTATTTTTACAATATAAAGGCTTATAAAATAGCAATGCTGTGGACAGATATCTGTAATACTAAAAAGATCCACAGATAGTGACCATCCATCCCTAATTGGGTAGAATAGTCCTAAAATGGGAACCTCAACTCCCGGTCCCAGGCTGCACGGCTCCAGGACAGCATTTGTCCTGGATTCGCAGTGTTGTGCGGGGATCCGGGTTTTCTGTTCAGTGTGGGAAACAACGGGTTTCCCCTTGCAGGGTGGCAGTGTTCCAGCCTGCAAGGGCCTGCCAGGAGCGGGACACAGGGGGCACCACATTCACGTGCATGCCCACACACATGCAGGTGGCTAGGAATACAGCCAGGCACCTTAGAGAGCAGCTCCTTCCAGGTAAATCTAGTGGGGGGGAGGGGGCACATTGTGGCTCCCACAGTGAGGAAGGGAATGGGGCAGGGGCGGGGGTGCTGCCCATCTGGGGTGGTGCTTGGAGCCTAGGGCTGGGAATAGGATGGACCCACAAAAGGCTCATCCAGGGGCAAAGAGGTAGGGGCATGGCTCCCCGCCACTGTATGCACTCCTGGGAGGCATATGGGAGGGACATGTGCCCCCCCCCCCCCCAAGATTTGTACACAGGGTGGGGGTGAAGGCAGGCTGTCTGCTGCTGGCTCAGGGCTCCTGCCCCCCAGCGACACCACGGTGAGCCACTCCCTGCCTACCTGGCAGCAGCGGAGGTGGCAGCAGAGGCAGCATGAAGTTGTGCTCCCTACTGTTTCTGGGCAGGGAGGGGGTGTGCAGCTGTCACAGGGCTCCCAGGGGAAGGCAGCAGAGTGGGGAGCCCCGTGCCTGCAGCCCGCATCCATCCCCACTCTGCTCAGTGGGGAAAAGGCCCTCATCTTGGATTTGAGTATGAGGCAGTGGAGGAGCATAAGGCCACTGCAACTCCAGCTCTGGCCCTGCACTGCAGCTGCTGCTTAACTCTCTACCACCTCTGTCCTATGTCGTGGGTGTAGCTCCAAGGCTGAAGCTGCTGCCACTGCTCCTGCCACTGCCCACCACCAGGCCAGACTGAGCACAGTCCAGGGATGTGCTCTGTGCCCTGGGCTGGAGTAGGGCTGAAGCCTGCCAAAACCAGAGGCAAAGTGGCAGCTGGGAGAGGCAGGAGGGAAGGCAGAGGCTGTGGGGGTGGTGGGAGGCAGTGGGGGAAAAGGCAGGGGTGAGGGGAGGTACCATCTCCCCTACTGCCTGCCCTCTGCCACCACCTGCCCACCTACCGTCTCCCCCAGTGCCTGCCCCTTTGCCACTGTTTCCCCATTGCAGAGGTAGGAGAGAGGAGAGAACAAATTTAAGATGACTCTCCAATATTTAGATTCTATACATGGAAAACTGTAGCAAATGTATAAACTTTCCAAGTATAGAATTTAATTATCAGGGAGGCATCTTGGATTTGAATAAATACAGTAGTTAAGATGCCCCAACATGGTTATTTAATGAAGTGTATTCAGTTGCTTCTTATAACTTCACCAAACTTAAATTGTTCAGACTGAAATGTTCTGACTCTTTTCAAGCACACTAAGGAAAACTTATGAAAACCTACCTACAGCCAAATCCTATTCTACCTAGTAAGTTTCTGAGGGCAAAGACAGAAGTGCAGCTCCCTGCTGTGACTGCAAATGCTTTGCAGAAGTGTTCTGAGTTACAATGATCCCTCGGAACAAACAGAAGTTCACTGATGGTTCCAGGTTCTCCTGGCAAGAGCCCCTTCTCTCTCCCAGCCTGTCCCTGCTTCAGAAAGGGAGCAGAGGGAGCTTGTCCTAGGTGTTCTCCAGCCAGCACTAGAGTGGGATGGGTGAACTGGAGCTCCTCCACTGGAGGGGGAGGGGGGGAGGGGGCGCAGGCTTCAATACACCCTTCCCCACCCTCCAGCAGAGGCTGAAAAAAACCCCAGACCAAACTCCCTCTCCTCCCTTTCCCCCCTCCTATTCTGAAAACAGTGACAGGCTGGGAGGCAGCACAGACAGAAGTTACAGAAGACGCTTTGTTTTGAAATGCCTTCATCTGACCCCATGCAATGAGGGTTTAGATTTTTGCCCAAACTGCCATTTTTCAAGTGGTCTGCAGCCGTGCACTTGTGTTTGGTCACAGCTATAAACCGCTTTCTGTGGCCAGAATGAGCAAAAATTGTCACTGCTGTCTGCGCCCTAAGTGCCACCTTATGCTACTGTATAACAGTCCCAGAAGAAACAATTAGTTTTGTAACATATCTTTATCTTATACTTTACAGAAGGCCATAGATAGGTGTTAAATAAGTGTCAGGAACAAATCCTCTCTCCCACCGCAAACAGTGTACAACCATTCAATGGGTTTCTTACTGAAGAAAACTTCCACAAGAAAGTTAGATCACTTCCTACCAAGACCTTCCTTGTCCCACACTAACTTGGTTATATGCTTCTCTTTGGTGTTGAGGGCACCCAATGTCCCGCAGTCCTCTGCTCTCCCTTCCCTGCTCTCAAGGGACAGGAAGGGAGGGAAAGCAGTGGCTCCCCGATATCCCACCTAGGGGCAAGCTCTCAGGGACACCCCTCCCCACCCCATTTGCAGGTGGGGAGGAGCAGGAATTCTCTTGTGGCAAGAACCCTCCCAGAGCTTCAAAAGCATTGTGGCCATTGGAGAATGGCCCCTCACCCAAGCCTCCCTGGGGCTGGGGTGCAGTCACACTGTGCACAGCAGCAGCCTTCCTGGGGCTCCAGTTTTGTAACTGTAAAAAAATCATCCCCCACTACCTGCACTTCTCCTAGTGGACCCATAGGAATGTATGGAGCAGGGACTATTCTCCCGCAGCAGAAACTAGGTTTGCTGCTGTGGAAGAATGGCTCCCCTATCCTGCTAATCAGCTATTTGGCAGGATGGGGGGCTGGCATTCTCCAGGGGCTGGAACCTTCCTGGAGCAGTCTCCTTTTCAGCAGCTGCTAACTGCCTATTGACAACCTGCCTCCCTTCCCAGGCAGGTGAGAGGGCAGGTTGCCAATCAATGGGCAGCGGTGACCCAAGGTGCAGCCCTCTAGTGTCCCCTGACTGGATTGCTCACTTTACCTCTCCAGTCAGGGGACTGAAACACATATTCACTTTAACTTCTGGGCTATTTTTCTAGTGCTAAGAATTTCATAGTAAGAGAACACCTGTCAGTGGCCTTAGTCACAAAATGTAGTGAGGTGGAGAAGGATCTACCACCCATCTTTTGCATTAGCAGCTTTTCAAGGACTTAAGCAGGGTGTAACAGGCTAATACTTAAACAAATAACAGATGGCATAGGATCTGACCCCAAATACTAATATGAAATGCTCCCCCACAAAAAATTGAGTGACTTTGATCTGAAGCTCCAAATTTTATTGAAGGCATGAACAAGAAATAAACTGTAATTGAAAGGGGGAAGAACCCTGAGGTTTGTGTTGAAAGGGCTACCAACTAGATACCTGGATTTTCAATGGTTTTTAGATATTATTTTTAAACCAGAATCTTTTTAAAGTCTTTTTCCATTATGGTAGCTCCTCTCTCCCCTCCATATGTTTACTTTTTGAATGCTCAAAAGAAATACATTAAAGCCCAATATAACACTACAGACCAAATCTTGTCTGCTGATTTAAATACAAGTCCTCCTTTGACTTCAAGGACAGAATGTGGTCCTATGAGTTTTCAGTAGAGTTTGTGCACCCTGGAATACTGACTGATAAAAATAGAAACCATTTTTACTCATTGCTGAAAGTCTATTTTTAGTAACATATGGCATTACATAATTCTAAAAATATGATGTGGCATAACTCTTAAAATATGTTAAGCTTCTGAGATTAACACTGTTTTGAAGTTTTAGTGACTTACTCATCATTCAAGCCCTGCGAAGAAAAACAAACCTAAATAAAAAGAACTGTAGAATTTCTATGTAATTACTTTCCAACTAATTGTATTCTACTTTACAAAAAGAAATAGCAAGGCTTGTGTATAAATGTAAAACAGCAAAAAGAACTCAAAAGAATAAATAAGGAAGTAATAATATAGGTCTAGGGTTGAATACTAATATGAAATCCAGAACTTCATGAAGAAACAGTTGCCTCTATCACCCACATCCATTCCACCACCCTACTTTATGGCAAAAAGACCTCATAGGCTAAGCAGTGGGGTTCAAATCAGACATCTGAGGAACATACAATACTATATGATTAAGTAGGTAGTGCACTACTAAATCTTCTCGTCATTACACAGCTAAAGGTGATGATAAAAATGCTTTGTGTAAGTTTTTACCTGCACATAAATTACAAGGCAGTTTTCAAACACTTGTGATCTTTTAAAAGCCCATACCAAAAACAGAACAATAATATTGGTTCCTTGTCAAATTCTAAATCTGAAAAATACATGCGCCTCCCTTGATTTGTTTTAGCTGGACACCATAGTTTTCT